TATATATATATATATATATATATATATATATATATACATATATAAATTTTTAAATTAACATTATTCTAAAATAATACATTAATACAGATAATATTTTGCAGGACAAAATTATTTTAATAATATGAAATATTACATTTAAAAATATTAAAATGGTTTATTTTAAAATATAATTTCTATTCTATTCTATTCAATTCTATTTTAAATTTCACATTTTATTTAGACATTTTAATATTTTTATCGAAACAACTCTAAAATAATGCAAGTTGTGAGTGAGACAAAAAGTTAATATGTTTGAATGTCTGATGAAGAATAATCTAATAATATAATTGCTGGACAAATCCCATTTTGTTGTAAAAATATTTAAATGTTTTAGATTTTAAGCTTTTTTTTTATAAATGACATTATATATATATATATATATATATATATATATATATATATATATATATATATATATATATATATATATATATATATATATATATATATATATATATATATATATATATATATATATATATATATAAATACACACACACACACATATATATACATTTAAATGGTTTTATATATATATATATATAAAGTATTTTTTTTACCCTGCTTGCGTCTCTAATGAAGAGTAGCGACCAGACTTCAACATATTACTCATTTCCTCTGACCTCATTTCCTGTTTTGACATGTGCTACATGGTTCAATTACACACTGCTGCTCATCAGTCTTAGCAGGACAACAGCGGAGGGCAGGAGTGATTTGAAGCACAGTAACTTATCAGGCCTTTCGTTCTGCACTTCATTGAACTGACAGGTAACAGGTGAACGCCCCTCGCTTTGATTTTTTTCTTGTCCCGTTGGGAGGGACGGTCACATGACACTGTTGTTTGTCAGCAATGAAACAGTCCTAAATGATGTGGCTGCTTTGAATGACAGCTAATTTATCATTTAGCCGTCTTGAGCTAATAATGGCTAATGACGGATGGGCTGTGACTGGAGCTAATCAGTGTTTACTGTTCACAAGAGTGTACGTGAGAGAAGAACCCAATTCTGCTGCATATTTGTTTCTTGCCGGACAGTTGTGAAGAAATAAAGGCCGCTCATCCGGAAACAAACATACGGTCGGTGATAAAACATAAAAAAACCCGTGTTGGGCGACTGAAAAAAGCCGTCTGCCTCTGAAAGAGCCCTTCGATGAAAATGTGTAATATAAATAAAGCCAGAGCCTTTGAAAAGAGAAGCCTTTCTTCCTGGAGCCGTCATCCAAAGGGAAAAGCTCACTCCAAGCTACTCTTAAATTCCCAAAGACCGTTCTGTCATCAGACTCCCAACTGCTCCCTCCAAACACAACACGTCTCGCCCGAAGCCCCCACATGCCTTTCATCTTTCATTCCCCCCCAAACACTGGCCATCTTCTGCTGGAATAGGCATAACACACTAACAAGAGCGGAAAGAAATGAATGAATGAGGATTTGATCTGTTGATGGATGACAGGTGATTGAAACTGGGAGGCTGGATCTAAAGAATGAAGGTTTTTGCATTTAACAATCATATATATATATATATATATATATATATATATATATATTGCATATAAA